CGCAATACCCATCTAACAGTATAAGCTATGTATGTTTCTAAATGTAAACTTAATCTAAACAACGTTCATATTAAAATAAACACATAAAAATAACTTCGTTACACATTTATAAGATATAGAATAAATTTGATATAGGCCTATGTATTTCGTGACGTTTGATTTACGTTCTGTCGTAGTGAACTTTATGAAGTCGTGACTTTAGTATCTCATCTATCAACTTCTCAGAAATTTATTGTTGCCATAGAAAGGTGTATCCATACTATTTTGATACATTGTAAGAATTTCTGGTACTTTATTCACTGTCTAGATTTATGACACGTTTTCAAACATTAAAGTTTATATGTTTTAATTGCCTATAATCATATACTGATGGATTTACGTTCATTTTGAAAATATTGAACAATTCTTCTGGAGAATTTGCCTGCAGGTTCATTTCAACAAACTAGCACTTGAGACACTACCTAGTGATAAAATGTCTACAGATAGAAAAGTTTACATGCAGTCTGATTCTCCAACAACTTCTGAGTTTGATAACAGGAAAGACATTGCTGATCCAAATTAATAAGAAACCAAGCAAATGGATGCCATCATCTGGGAAATGTCTTTTAGTAAATTATTTATTTTCCACTTGTTGCAAACAAATAAAAAATATCGACTATTATATTTCAGCATCGTCAGACATCCTATTTAAGGAGGAACATCAAGCCATTCATATCATAAAATCAAGGTCTGACATTGAGATAAAACCTGCACTACTGTAGCCTGGAGCTTTTTTTACCAACCTCTTACTGATGACGATCTTCTCTGTAATATACAAACTCAAATAACCAACCCCATAAACAGACTTATTGATGAAAAAAACTTACCAACTGAGAGACGTAATCTTATTCAGTCATATCCTAGAATGTCTATCTTTTATCTACTACCCAAGATCCATAAACCTGAGACTTATTTCTGCATGCAACTGTCCCACAGAACTGATTTCTAATTTTATTGACAATATTCTTTCTCCAATCATAAAAAATCTTGCCTTCGTATGTTAGAGACACAAACACATGCTCTTCAGTTAATTAACAATTTTAATGTCCCTACAAACTCATCTGTCATGATCTTCACAGGTGACATAACATCTCTTTACACCATTATTCCTCACACTGAAGGTTTACAGGCCCTCAAGTTCTTCTTTGACAGACAAGAAACATTCATACCTTCCACTGGTACCATTTTACAGCTTACCTAACCTGTACTAGATCTGAACATATTTAAGATTAATGACACCATTTATAAAAAATTATGTGGTGTTGCTATTGGAACCATGGTGGGACCTTCATATGAAAACCTGTTTGTTGGCTATATGGAAAATAATTTTTTTCCCAGTTCCATGAAAACATTCCCAATTTGTACACTAGGTGTATTGAGGACATTTTCAGCATATTTATTGGCAATAGGACTGGACTTGACAAATATATTGATACGTCTCGGTTCGTTAGTTAATTTTCCGTAAATTCGTTCCTACGAAACTTTAGCGACACAAGTCTTTTCTTAAATAAAACCGAATACAACTTTACGATACACTCAACTTCAACAGTCGCTCTGTAACAAACACTATAATTCTCAACGAACTTCTCACGTGCTTAACAATATTCTCTCTGACTGCAGTTCAATTATTCATTACCTCTGTTGTTCCGTCACGTTGTGAACATCTTATATATACAAGACTAACACATATCTAGTAAATTCTAGGGCATTCTTGAAGGAACAGGATATTTCTAGAAAGGAGGTGGCACGATACTAGTCAC